TATTTCTATAGGAGTTTGACGACCCCTCGGGGAACGGCTTCATTGAAAATCTCCAGGCACCACTTGAAGATCCACAGATGAAGTGCACTAAATACGTCAGAACCCCCGAACAGAACGAGAAGTTGGGTTACCAGAACGAAGAGCAGGCCGAACCAGACCAAGTAATGTGTAGCCCATCTTTCTAAATTGCCCATTTTTCGCTGTAAATTTACTGGTTTCTGCTTGTAGGAGGATTCTGGGGACCTGAAGGACACTGTCAGCGTTTTCCAAGTCGAATGCCCCAATTGCCATTCCAATGTTCCCACAAACATGAAGATCGTTGGTACTTTTCTTAGCTCTGCGATCCTATTTTTGTTGTATTTCGAGTTTTGCCTGTACTAGTATTCAACCCTCTATGTCTGCAGCAGAAAAGTCAGATTTATCTTCTTTCTGAACTAGTAGTAGAGGGATTAAATAGATGTGTGGCCTCTACAGACAGCTAAAAACGTGAGATTGTACTGACTGTAGTAACGATACTAATAATCTGGTAGATTCTTTGCATTAACCTAAAGCCCATCTTTTACACGGTTCCCGACGGCTGCATAAGCACTTAAAATGTCTTTGTTATCTCTAGACATTCCCTACTTCCAAGAGGTCATTCTTATGGCTGTCAACTGTGATTTCTGTGGTTATCGAGACAATGAAGTCAAACCAGTCACCGGCATTCACGAGAAAGGGAAGAGGTATCGGCTACTCATCGCTGAGGAGGCCGATCTCTCCAGGGATATCTTAAAAGGTGACGAGGCCACAATGGAAATTCCCGAGCTGGAACTCAAAACGCAGAGTGGAACCCTGGGTAGCCGATTTACCACCGTGGAGGGTGTTCTCGGCCTAATGCGCGATCAGGTATTAATTTGCCTCGTTGCCCTCCCCCTCTCTCATCCACCAATCTTTCCCTAAAATACTCCTCTCTTGGTACTTGATCCTGTTTTGCTCCGTTTCACCAGAGTTCGTATATTATAAGTCTAAACCCCTCGTTCATGCCCGTGCTTCCCTACTGCCTCTTATCAGGCCATTACAATTATATGGGAATGGGGTCTGTTATGACCCGCGTCTGGTACTGCTAATTAATACGAACACCGACCCAAGAGCCCGTAAGAGAGGGACAGAGAGAAGACCGGTTGGCCAGAGAACGAGCGAGTTTACTGAGACAAGCAAGTCAGAGCAAGTCCTTGAGTGTGTAACAGATACCAACAAAATTAGGACAACAAACGACTGTGAGCTAGGTCCAGC